ATCCGCGCCAACTCAGGTCGCCGCAGCCGCAGCAGCGATTTCTCCTGCCGGTGCGCCTCCGTCTCCGAGTCGCTGGAGTCCGCGTCGTTGTTGTCGCCGTCCTCGCTGCTGCTGCTGCTGATGGCGGCGAGCGCCTCCGCCTCCCGCCTGGCGGCGTAGTAGTCCACCCGCTCGTTGTGCTTGGCGCGGCGCTCCTCCTTCGAGGCGCCTTTGGTGCCGCGGCGGCGGCGCGAGGCACTGCGCCTCTGCTTCGCCTTCAGTCGCTTGAAGAAGCCGCCCGCCTTGCCCATTTTTCGACGACGCGCGCCCGCAGCCGCTCCCGCTCCCCGGCAGCTACAAACAGGCGAACAAAACCCTCCTCCCTCTGAGGCTCCCCTGCGGCTGCTGCGGGTGGGTGTGGGGCGCGGCGCGCAAGAGAAGCGGTGGAGGAGGACGGGGGAAGCAGAGGCATGCGGGGAAGCAGCAGCACACAGAGAGAGAGAGAGAGAGAGAAAGACAGAGAAGAATAAAAAAAAACAAAGCAAAAACAACAACATCCACACCATCGGCGGCAAGCCAGGGAAAAAAAAAACGGGATACATGCACGCCTGTCAGGAGCAGCCTTTAACGGGGAGGGCGGCAGCATTCGTGTCACGCAGTGAGCTCCGCCGCCACGCGGTAGTCCCGCGCCGCCGCCAGTGCTCGCTTCTGCGCCTGCACGACCTGCACGCAGGCGCCCAGCACCTCGCGGAAGCGCTGCTGGCACTCACGCAGCCCCATCGAGGGGACAGACGCAAACCAGTGCGCCGGATCCTTTCCGTCGCCAGCTGCTATATTCACCATGGAAAACTCGTAGGCCCCACGACTCTGCTCCGCACCCTCTTCCTTCGCCTCCGCCGTGCCGGTCTCCGCGGCGGCGGCGGCAAGCAAGACGACGCCCAGCTGTGGACGCACCGCCCCCGCCCTCGCCGGGACGGCAGCCAAGCCGAGAAGGAGGCCCGCACGGTCCATCTCCCGCTGCACTTCACCGTAGCGAAAGCGGGCCGCCCGCAGAGAGTCGTGGAGGAGTGTGCGGCAGCGCTCGAGCTCCGCGACGGCCTCCACCGCCGTGTCGAAGAGGGCATCCAGCCGCTCCTCGCGGCGAGGCGGGGGTGGCACCGCCCCGCTCATTTACCCGCAGGCCCCGCCACCAGCAACGCCACACACCCACACCCGGACTAATAAACCAAAACAAAACAAGGAGAGAAAGCAGGATACATAAATACGTAATGACAATTACTATACTACGAGACGAAGGGACAGTGTGGCAGCGCGGGGCCCGGCCACCCCTCCTGGGCGACGGTATGGGGGGGGGGAGAAACAAACCCTGCGGGTGCTGCAGTTCATCAAAGGGGCGGAGGTGTGCGTGTGTGTGTGTGTGTGACTCCGTGTCACGCCTCTCAGCTCCCCCGCGAAAAGCAGAGCCGTATTTATGTTTGTTTGCCTGCAATATATATATATATATATAATAACCAGAACTAAATAAATACTCGCATTCGTAACCGCGCATGCATGTAGTTTTTGTTTTGTTTTGTTTTGTTTTGTACGTGTGCGGGGAGGGGGGGAGGCAAGGCTGGCCGTAAGACCTCAAAGAGGGAGGAAAAAGAGAAAACTAAAGGCGACCGTAAAGTAAAGGGAACCGTTGAGGCGCAGTAAAAAGAAGGAAAGCAAAAATTACTTTTTTTTTTTGCGGGGATAACGATGGAGAGGGAGGGGGAAAAAAAAGAACACACAAAAGAAAAACAGCATTATATGTCGTCTTGAACTACAGAAA